ATTAAGAGAACTGTTTCTCATTCTTTGGGCAGAGTTAGAGGGGTTTTCCTCTCTTAGAGCTCTGTCACTACCAGTGCCCATTTTCTAGATTTCATGCTTTATTATTTATTAAGCCCAGGCCAGGGGTTACTGGATAAAGGAAAAATGATAAACTTACTGCCAGTTTGATGATACGTCAGATTTTAATCTTTTCCTCAGCCCTCTTATTACTTACTTTTGAATCTTCCATAGCTACTCCATTCAGTCTGAGTTCTGTAGTTTTATTTAGTGAGATTAACGAAGTGGTATATGTTTATTTCATTTTACCCAGAACTGGAGCTCCCTGATCTTACTGCATGTGTTTGAGAATGAAATGCTAATTTTATGATCATAGTTAAATAAGATTTGTTGATTATATTTCATGTTTTCTACATACTTATGTATGTAATGGTGTAAGTCCTGTTGAAGAAATGATGCTACATTAAATGAAGGATGCAGGCAAATGAATTTCTCTTTTAGAGTAGTTTTAATTTTTAATGACTATATTACCTTCAAAAAAGTCTTATTTTTTAATCTGTGCTGAGTTTTTTTGGCTTGCTTTTCACTTTGAAAATGAGTATTTTTGTACTCATTTTAATCTTTTAAAAGGAATTTATTTCAGTAATTAAGTTATTGGTCATCTTGTCATGAGGTGACATGCTTCATATTATGGACTATTCTGGCACTTGCTGTTGTAGATACTGTGCAAAAATTTTAGAAATACTCTGAAGCTTATCTTTACTTCCTATATTGACATACAAATCTCATTTTATTATAAGACAGTATGTGTGAGTAACTTCAGTTTCTTAGTTTCAGTTTATCTGGTAACAAACAACATACAAGATTATTTTTCATCAGCAAATGGTACTCAGACAGCAAGCTGCTTTCTGAATGTAGGTCCAGAATGGAGAAATTGAGTATGAAAATTTCTTAGATACTGTGTTTGTGGATCAACTGCAGCAAGTAATCAAATCATTTGTATTCTTTACAGAAAGTGAACTGGAAAGATTTCCAGGGACTGATGTACAATAAGAACTGAAAGCAGTGTGTAGTGAATCCATTAAAATAAGCATTTCTTAAAAGTTTTCTGAGTTGTTCATCTATCTCAGTTTTTTGTTGTGTAGTTTTTTGTTTGTTTTGCTTTGTTTTTTGTTGGAGTCAGGGTCTCATCATATATCCCAGACTGACCTCAAACTCATGATTCTCCTTGTCTTCCAAGAATCCATCTCAGTTTTACACTTTGTTGGTAGTTACAAAGTTGACAGATTGAAACTGTTAATAGAAATGAAAATATGAAAAGGAATGAGCATGGCTTTGCTGCAATAAAACTTTTATTTACAAAAAACTGGCAGCTAGATTTTTGACCCCTGTCTACTTTAATAGGTAATAGCCCTTCCTGGACATCATCAACAACAAAAAAATAGCCTTGTTATAGTTTCTCCAAGAGAAGGACCATGTTCTTCAAGGGAGGACCCAGTTTTTTTTTTTTTTTTTAATAAACAAGTAGAAGGAAGTTAATAGTCTAGAATTGGGGTGGAAGATCGTCATTAATAGTAATGATTAACATTTGAATGCTTATTATTACTAAATAACAATAAGCACAGGTTTGCCTAACGCCTTTGTCCAAATTATTAATCACTGAAATACACTAAGTACCTTATTCACTGACCCTGTTTGTAATCATATTTTGTTGGTTGGAGGGTTGAATTGGGGGACTGCTTTGTGTTAGAGGATTAGAGATAAAAGATAGAAAGGAATTGACTAAGAGATGTTGCTGGAGTTACTGTGGAGTCTCTGAAGATCTTAGCCATATAGTATTTAGCATCCTCATGAATGCTTTGTTCTTGCATTAATTGTGCCTGTCACAGAGACAGCTTTCACTTTTCTTCAGAATCCCTTTCACTCAACTGACCCTTATTAGTTAGTCATCTTAAGTGCCCTTCAGTGGTAGCATCTATCAACAGTTTCAATCTCATGTCAACTTTGTAACTACCAACAAAGTGTAAAACGGAGATAGATACTTGGGAGACAAGGAGAATCATGAATTTGAGGCCAGTCTGGGCTATACTGTGAGACCCTGTCTCCAAAAAAAAAAAAAAAAAAAACAAAGAAAGAAAGAAATGACTTAACTTTTATTTAGTCTTTTTGGTCTTTGTCTTTGAATTTAGGGAAAAAAGAATGGGCAAGAAACAATTTTATTGCTCTTCCTCATTCTTCTTTCTAGCAGTAATAACGATCATAACAATAGCTATTTTTTTTATACGGGTGGTGGAGTTGGGATTTTAATTTAGGCTTGTTGGACTAAAGTTTGTAGTATTCACCAGGATATAGATACATTTATTTTATTTATTTTTACGGTGCTGGGGATTCAGCTCAGGGCTTTGGAAAGTACCCTATCTCTTTGCTATATCCCTAGCTAGGATGTTGAGCTCTTTACATGCCATAGTCTCACTTGAAGAATAGTAGGAGGAAATAGGTACAAGGTGTTTTGAAGTGAGCTAGAAAGGAAAGGAGTTCTGTTTGTATAGATGGCAAGACAGACTTTGGGAGAAAAAAGTTGATGAAGGAGGAGAAGGAAAGGTTAACAATTTGAACCTAAACCAGACTAGGCTATAAAGCTTAGTTTATATTTGTGAATTAATACAGGATATATTCAGGAAGAAGAATACAACTTCTAAAAACTTGTACTGCAGTACTTGTGTACTTTATTGTATGAAACTTAAAAGGACAAGACAGTATTCAAAATCTAAATTATAATTTATATATACATATGAGTAGTATTTTTAAAGGAAGATATGTGAAAATAGCATAGATTATCATAGGACATAAAATATTGAGCTATGTAGCGGGATCTCCCCTGTAGATTATTAGAGTAGTCTGCTTGCTGGTCTCCACTTTTTCCCTTGCCACCTCCACTGCTCTCTTGGCCCATCTCACTCACAGAAGAGCTTAGAAGGTACTGCTTGATCTTGTCTTCTATCCTTCTTTCCTCACCTAGTACTTTTCCTCCTTCACTCTGTTCTGACCACTGCCCTGCTTATTGTTTCTTGAATATACCAGACATACTCTTCTGCCTTAGCACTTGCATATGTTCTGTTCTGTGCCTAGAATGCTTAGCATTGGCTTGCCACCTAACTCCCTTATTTCTTTCATGTTTCACAGTTCAAATGTCACTTAATCAGAGAGGGTGTCTCTCACCACTCTGTATGAGAATAGCAGCTTCCCTATTTTCTCATCCTTCCTAGTCACACTGTTTTAATCTTTTTCTATAGCATTCTTCAACATCTAACACATTAGCTAACTTATTTCGTTTCCTTTATTACAATATACAATCAGGGATTTCTGTCTTTTTTGGTGCAGTACTTAGTTGGGTTATCTATAACTATAACATTCAGTAAATCTTTGAGTTAAAAAAAAACAACAACCTGCAAGAGGTCACTGGCATTTGATTAAATAATTTTATTAATTAGTCATTCTACTTCCAAATTGTTCATTCCACTTGAAGATTAACTGCTGACATTCACCTTACTCAGATGGTTTCCAGGACTGTCATCATTTTAGTCATCTTCACAGGCCATTTATTTTTTTGCTTATCCTTACAGTATCAATTTTTTAAAGTAATGCTGGCTCACTTTTAGCTTTAAGATCCACTATAGCCTTTAAATCCTCTGACTTGCTAGTAAGTTTGTTATTTGCCTCAAAAGCAGTTGGCTTTGTAACCAGTGTGACTTTGCATTTCTCATTATTTAACCAAGTTGGTAGTTTTTCCTGGGCAAGTCATGCCTTAAAAGTAGCATATGTAAATTACTTTAGAAAATAGTGAGGAAAATTACTTCACATACATATGAAAGAATCATAACTGATAAAATTGGGGATTTCTTGTGCTTAGATATTATAAAATATATTTGGATGGTTCACTGCAGTTATGTCTTCCATCACTTTGAGAAGGAATATTGAAATTGATTCCAAAATAATTTTACCTCATAAATTTCTCCTGACTACAAAATTAACTTTCCCTGTTTCTTGTTTTTTTACCTCTTATAATCATCATTTTCCTGGTCCTTTAGACCAGAACAATCTTTGACTCCGTTCCCAATTTTGATCACCAGATCTCAGAAATTTTCAGTTGTTTAATTTCTTGCTTTTCCAATTCACTTCATAGTCAGTTACTCTAGCTATTCAAATCATTTTGCTTATAATCTCTCCCCACTATATTCTAGTCCATTTTGTACTTTCTGGGTATAGCAATCTTTTTAAAAATAAGTTTATATCACTTGTGTGTGGTGTGGTGTGTATGAACGTGTGTGTCTGTGTGTGTTCGTGTGTTCCTGGGATCAAACCCCAAAGCCTCTTGCTCTTTTTAGGTAAACACTTGACCATTGAGCTATACTTGCAGCCATACATCACTTTTATCATGTCTCTGCTTTAAAGGAATCCAAAAGTTGAATCTAAGCTTCTCAGTCATTAGAGATCTATCTACAATCTAGCCACTTGATTTACATTGCTGTGCTTATTTCTTTTATTACCCCTCACTGATCTTTCAGATGAAATACTTAGCTTATATGTTCAGTATACACAATAACATTTTTGTACACGTTTTACTTAAAGTCTTCTTGTTCTTATCATACTATTTTATTTCTCTATACTTTGTTATTCCTTGAATACCTTCAGTTTCTCCTCTTTCCAGAAATCTCCATTTTAAGTTGATCTCTTTTCCATAGACTTAGATTATATTTATGTCTATGTTATAGAATATGACATTTATTTAGCTTTTGTTATTTAATAGTTTCTTTTCAGTAAGATTCTTTGCTTCTTAATTGTAAGCAATATAAAAGAGTACTATATTATCCACAAATTGATTGGCTTGTGCTGTGTTCTTTTATGTGTAAAATAATTTCTTACAGTATAGAATTCTTTTTAAATTGATATTTTGGGAGGAGGCAAACATAAATAAATATTCTCTATTGTAATTCATTCTCTAGGAAACCCTTTCCCAAGGAGAATGAAGAAGAAAACTGTGTATACCCTGAATGTGGGAGATCAGGAGTATGAAGATCTAGAAGGTAACTTTTTCATTTTTATAAAGCTCTGTGTTGAAAGCCAAACTTGGGGTTTACAAACTATTTACATACATTTAAAAATGCACAGTGTTTTATTTTTACTTGTGGTAGTCTTAAATTCTGAAACAAACTACTTAAGAACTGCACACATTTTTCTTCCTATTAGGTTTTAATTTTCATTAAGGGTTTTTAGTTTGTTAAACGTGTACCTTTTATTTTCTTCTTCAAGTTTTGTTCTCTGCTGGTTTAAGAGTTTTTTCCTAAATAGTTAGCGTTAATACTTTTCTTATAAAGTTAATTTTCATGGTCATCAGAAGAACATTAGAATACTTGGTTATCATCCTACTTGTGATTTATAGGTTATATAGTTATCTATTATTTTGGTTCTTTTGTTTCAAACACCACAAATTACAGGTTTGTATTTATTTATTATTAATTTGGTTTTTTTTTTGAGGCAAGGTCTCTCACTGTGGAGCTCAGTCTGTCCTTGAAGTGGCTATGTATTCCCCAGGCTGGCTTGGAGCTGGCCTGGAGTTTATGATCCTCCTTGCTCTGCTTTGCAAGTGATTGCAAGTGTGTACCACCATGGCCCAGCTTGAATTAGATGTTTTATACAGTGCTTGCTTGGGTTTTATTCCTCTCCATCCTTCAAAAAAAAAAATATTAAGATGTTTCTTTATTGAAGGTCTATTGATGATATACTCTTTAAGTTTTTGTATCTGTTTTACCCTCTTCACAACCATTCAAAGGCAGATATATTGGGCATATAATTCTGAATCATTAGGGTTTTTTTGTTTTGCTTTTCTCTTAGCACTCTGAAAATATTATTTAATCATTTTCCTTCTTTCATGGTGTCTAGAATTCTTTTCTTGGTCTAATTGTCAATTCCCTTGTAGATGATCTGTCTTTTCCCATTTTCTGCTGTCACAGTTTTTTTTCATCTTTAATGTATAGTTTTGCTCCATTGTTTCTAGGCTTGTTTTATTTTCATTTCATCTGTTTAGCATACATTCTGCTTCCATTATCTGATGGTTCATAGTTTTTCAGATTTTTTGATTGTTTGTGTGAGACAGGATCTTGCTATTTATATGTAGTTGAGGCTGGTTTGGGACTCACTTTGTATCCCAGGTTACTACTCAGTCTTCCTGCCTCTATCTCATGAGTGCTGGGATTACATGTGTACACAACTATGCCTGGCAACTTCATGTTTTTTAATCACTTCCCAGTAATTGCCTCTTTATTTCCTCCTTTTAATTTTCTTCTGGATTTCAATTAATGTGTTAGACCTCATTTTTAAGCCTCTTTCATGATACCTCTTTTTCTCTCTCCTAGAGTGTATCTAGTTTCTTTCAAGTTGTCTTACAGTTCAGAAATATTTCCTTTTGGGTCTAATCTTCTCTTTAGTCTTCTACATAAGGAGATGTGAAAGACTATAGAAAGTGGAGAGATCTCCCATGCTCATGGATTGGTAGAATCAACATAGTTTTCTACATAGTATTTGTAAATTATAATATTTGAAGCCAGTGGATTTCAAAATTTGTTTCTGTTGATTCTCTTTCAAAGTTATTTTCTTAGATTTGGTAATGTTTAGTTATGAGTTCATATTTGATAAATTTAATCTTTGGAACCTTGAGGAATTCTTTTTCTTTTTGGCAGGGTAGGGGGCGGTGCTGGGGTTTGAACTCAGGGCCTCTTGCTTGCTAGGCAGGTACTCTACCACTTGAGCCACACTGCCAGCCCTAATTTAGGGATTCTTTATAGAATTTGTATTTGCTTCTTCCTAGACTTACGCTGGAACCACATTAGCCCCATTTGAGAGTCTTCCTAACTACCGAAGTCTCTCAGTACTTGTATCACTTCTTTGACTTGGGAAGACTTAGTCTTCAGATCTGAACATCAGTGTGTACATGCACCTAGGATAGTCCCAGGTTTCCCATTTGTTTGCTGTATACTATTCACCTATCAATTCACTGTTCCTTTATTTTTGTGTTGAATTTTAGAATTTCTTTTATTTGCTTATGTGCCAGCAATACGTATTTTTATATAAGTTGTTTGCATTGTGGATAAGGAGTTTATATTGGTGTAGATCCTAAGGAAGGTACTTTGGTAGTATTTATTCACATTACAAATGCACACAAATGTTGATCTAGCAGTTCTTCTGTTAGGAACAAGCCCTGGATTCATTCCTCAGTACTGCTCCAAAAAAAAAGGAGGGGGAAGGATGTGGAAAGGGTAAAATTTTTCATTGCGACATTGTTTTCATGGCCAATTGCTGGATACAAGTGTACATCCATTAATAATTTTTTTAAAAAGCAGACTAGTTTATGTAGTGTTGAAACATTTGTGGGAAGTAGGAAACATGGAAGAATATGTATTAGGATTTAGCTTGGTGTGGTGGTTCACAATTGTAATCTAACTAGTTATGAAGCTGAAGCTGGAGGATGGTGAACTTGAGGCCAGCCTGTGCTATATAGACCTTGTCTCAAGGAGAAAAGAAAAAAACATTTGCCTTCCTGAGCATTAAACAAACAAAAAAAAATCTTCAGAAGAACACAGTAGATACTTAACAGTTATTACTTGTTGTGTTGGGTGGAACCAGATGATTGAGTAGGAGATTTTTTTCTATAAATTTTGAGTCACATGAATGTTATTTATTTTTAAAGGTAAATTAAAGTTCATTTCAGGGCTGGTGGAATGGCTCAAATGTTAGAGTGCCTGCCTAGCAAGTATGAGGCCCTGAATTCAAACCCCTGTACTACCAAAAAAAAAAAAAGAAATTAAGCTAAATATAACTGATAAAGCATTTTTAGAAAATCATTTCATTCTGCCATTAAAAATATAAGAAAGTTGGGTGGGTATGTATCTCAGTGGTGGGGACTGTGCTTAGTGTTTGCAAGACCCTGGGTTTAATTTCCAGCAAGCCCCTCTCCCCCAAATATATGTAAATGTTGGAGCTACTGACCCCAAGGAATATGTTTGTTATTAATATTTAAGGTTTAATTGTTTTGTAGTAGGAGAGTCCTTAGAGTATCTAGTCCACTGTATTTCCATAAACATAAGTCATTTGGTTCTGGAGTTCTTGAAAGCACATTTGACATTTTACTTTACAGGTGAAGAAAGCAGGAATAATACTCCTATGGCTGGTCTGTTGTGCAGTGAAGCAGACAGATGTCCAATATGTCTTAATTGCCTATTAGGAAAGGAAGTTGGTTTTCCAGAAAGTTGTAATCATGTCTTCTGTATGGCCTGTATTCTTAAATGGGCAGAGGTAAGTCTGAGAATAAATATTAACCACAGCTGATTAAATTACTGTACTTTAATTCTGTAGCATGATTTCGTTTTACCTAGCTTAAAGAGTTGATATAGCCTTTCAGAATTATTTCACAGTAATGTATTTCCCTAATACTTGTGTCAAATTTCCCTATATTATTGAAATTGTGTCTGTATATTCACTTCTCATTTTGGTCAATTTTTTCATTCTTTTATAATTAATAGGGTTTTAAATGCATATCTTTAAAAAAGGAAAAAACCTTTACAGGGAGAACACATCCACCTAGCTTTGTGACCCTTGTAAGGATAAATATGTTTACTACTAAAAACAACTCTATCTGCTTTTTGTTTTATAGTTTTCAGAGAATGTTTATATAGATTTTTTTATTTCTTCTTTATATCAGCCTCGTGGAATAACCAAATGAGATGTCATAGTGTCTTTCCATTTCACAGCTGAGGAATCTTGGATTTCACATTCTGTAATTTGGCCAAGAGCTCATTGCTTAAGAGGCAGATGTAAATTTAGAATTATATTTTGTAATTTCTGTTATTCAGTATAAACTAATTTCATAGTTTGAATTAGAGATTCTACTGAGATTCTTCATGGAGTGTAAATGATTAAGAAATAAAACATTTTGGACTTCTAATATACTAATGTTGACTCAATTCAGACCAAATACTTTGCAATGAATTATTAAATGAAAAATTATACTGGTCACATTGTACTTTCTGAATTTGTATTTTATCAGTGTGTAAAATTAGATATATCTGAAAAATATTTTTAACATTACAGATTGTCCAGTGTCTTCAATCCCCAGCACTACAAAAAAAAAAAAAAAAAAAAAAAAAACCTCAAAATTGTTCAGTGTCCCTAAGTGCTTTGCAATTCATTACATTTTATATAATTGGGGTTTTCAAAAGTTCTGTGTTTTACTTATATGTTCCTTAAATATTTTAAAAAGAGCTGACCTTGTATGTAGTGATTATAACATTGTCTGTGTCTGAGTTTTACAAGAAGGGAAGAATAGATTTGTTATGCCAATTGAATTCATAATAATATACATAGAAACTATTTTAATTTAGATTTAAACCTAAACTTTGACAAAAAAGAATTAAGAATAGATAAAAATGTATTGAGAAAAATGTTTTAAATTTTGCTAAGTTAGTATGACTGGTAAATTTTCCTACTAGACAGTTTGCCAAGAGTACTGATTAATGAAATAAGAATGCATATTTTTCTCTGCCACTTTTGTAAAGATATAATCTATGTTGAATTTAGTGCACTTTGGTTTCCGGTGTGATTTTTTTTTTTGAGATACTGGGGTTTGAAATCAGGGCTTCACTCTTGCGAAGCAGGTGCTGTACAACTTGAGCGTCTCCTCTCCCTTCTAGCCTACTTTATGATGAAATTTTTTTAAAAAAGGATTTTGTTTAAGGTGGGGAAGCCCTATAATTGAATGGTTGGAAGGTTTCAAGTCAGTGCTCTCCCTGATTGTATTTAATCATAATTGTGTACTTCAACAACATAATTTGAGTTAGAACATATAGACATGGTTCTTCATCCTTCCTTACCACTCTTAAGTGAATCTGTTAACATAACCGTGAGCTTTACCGTGATGTAGATGTTGCAGGTTTCTATGAGCAGTGTATCAAGAAATAGAATCACTAGTTTATAGACTGTGCACATACTCATCTCTACTAGACAGTAGCAAATTTTACTGTATTTTTAACTCTTGTAGAATATGTTCAAGTTGAAAAACACTTGGTACCATATATAAGTGTTGTAGTCAATACTTTTTTCTTGAATATAATATTTTTTTTGTTTGGTATTATTCCTTTGAAACATTTTGTTGAAGTGAAATTCCATTTCAGAAACAAATAATCAATCTGTTGTACTATTGTCTAAAATTGCAATGGCAGGCTAGACAAGGTATGGTATTGTTTAAACAAAGTAATTAACCTTTAATTGAAAGGGGTGGAGAAACAGTATTTTGAATTTTTTCATTGTCCCTAAAGGGGACAACAGCCATTAGTTAAGTAAACCATTAAGTTAAGCAGTAACAAGAGGACGATTGATTATTGTAAATTATGAATGAAAGTTGACCTACAAAGTCACTTAGGCTTCTAAACTAAATTTTCAGTTGAATCTTTTGCTGTGATAAAAATTAAATGCGTTTTAAGGTTTTTAAGTGCCTTGACAAGTATAGTCAGATTTCTAGTTTACCAGTGGGTTTTTTTCCCCCCATAATCATTAAAATTTTTCTTCAACCTCTTTCAGTTTAAAATAAGATATACAGGTTCCTTCAGATTGAGTAAGAATAAGCATATATTTAAAATCCCTTAATGAGCCTTGCCCTGTGCTAACACTTTCTTGCACCTTGGTTCATTTAATTCACTATCTTAATGTTTATTTGATATACAAGGTAAAGATTCTGAATGCTAGTAGTAATTTATTCCCAGATACTCAAAGAATAGCTTAAAGTTAAAAAACATCAGAAGTTGTTTTGTTGCTTAAAATTTACCAATGATGGTCTAGAAGTATGACTGAAGCAGTAGAGCTCCTGCTGTACAAGCGTGAAGCCCTGAGTTTAAACCCCAGTCCCACCAAAAAAAAAGTTCGCTTGTAGTGAAAGAATTTATGTCAAAGTGAGATTTACAGTTGTTGGAAATCTGCATGAGAAGAAAACAGCACAAAATGTATTTCATGATCATCTTTCCAGATTTCTGTCTGTCAGAAATTCACCTGTGCTGCAGTTTATAGTCAAGGTTCACAGAAATATGATTCAGAAACACCAAGAGAAAAAAAAAAGAGAGTACTCATTTATTTGCTTTTATTTAGTATCTTAGGCATTGAAGAAAATCCAATTGTGTATGACCAGTATTTGGAAAAGTAAAGATACATTGTACTCTACTACTAAATTTCTTTTGGACATACTCTTAAATTTTTCATGTCTTTAAAATACCTATTTTCAGCCAGGTGTGTGATGGTACATGTCAGTAATACCAACTATTCAGGAGGTGGAGGTAGGAGGATCATGATCTAAGGTTATCCTGACCCAAACCTGAGACCCTATCTGGAAAACAAACTAAAAGCAAAAATCTTGGTTCTGTGGCTTATTTAAATAAAGATTGAGTAACTGAGCTTTTGTATTCTCTAGATGTTCTATAGAATCTACTTTACGTAGTGCAAAAGGATTAAGCATAATGGAATCTACGTTAGCCCCCACGGCCCAGAGCCTAATTGCTTTTCTTTAAGGATGCTAAAACAAATCGAAATTAATCATATCCACTATGAATGTGTTACTTTCAAGGAACCCACAGATGGTAAGCCTGTTTAAAAAATAGTAATAATGATGATTAACAAAAAACAAACAGAATATTGACCCCAACAGTATAATTGACACTAGAAGCTGGTTGAGATTTTCCTTAATTTAGCTTCATCAGTATTTGAGCTAAGAAGCTGAAATTAAAAGAGGCCCTTTTGATTGATGAAATACGTATAGAGCCAGTATACTAAGGTTTATCACTTACTCAGTTAAGGAATTTGTCTTAGCCATACTGTGAACAAAGGCAATCTACAGTTAATGAGAGTTTTGAACTTAGATAAGTTTAACCTTGATTATCTGAGTTTGCACATTTAAAATAGATATTTAAAAAGGTGAAGTCTAGAAAAGTCTGACTCACCATAATTATGATCCTCTGTACACAAAATATCTACCCTTTTCACACAGTGGTTCAGGTTTTATGATTTGGCAGTATTGGCAAAAGGTGGTTAAAATTTTGGCCTTTAAAGATTTAAGGTTTGAGAACTTAGAAACATTGTGTGTTTAAAGTACTTAACAGTACTTTATTTTTGGTGCTGGGGATTGAACCTGCAGCCTCACATATACTAAAGCACATGTTCTGCTACTGTGCTACACCTCAGCCCCACTTGCCACATTAAAACCACATGGAGTATATGTGATTAGTATGTTCTTGATACCTACTGAGGTCCTTTCACTTTATCTTTTACGCAATAGTTCCCTTTTAAGTATTTTTTAAAATGTGATTAGCTTTCTTAGTGTAAACAAAATTACCTTCCCTAAATTTCCTCATCTTGGTCCACCATTTTGTATCAAATGCTGACAGTTTCAATTTGAGAAAGTAAGGTTAATAAAATCAAAATGCTTTCTCTCATGAGGCTAGAAGAGTCTCACCAAGGTGACACACAGTTCTTGAAGAACAGTGTTGAATACAGACAACAGTGTTGAATACAGGTGAGGAGTGGATTTTGAATTAATATATAACAAAAATCAGGATATAAGCAGTTGACTTATGTTTTGACTATGGATATATTTTTTATATAAGCAGTCTTCTGTACAGTAAGTGGGAATTTGCACATCATTCTGGTGATTATATTTTTCAGTAGTACATTAATTTAACAAGCTTTATTGTTAGATTTTTTTCAAACAGTTTTCCCTCAGAGTTTAGGTTTTTTAAAAAAATTCCTGAACTCTGACCTAAACCTCTCTGTTATATAGTTCTCTGTGAATAATAATTTAAGCGTATATATGGAGTACCACTAACATTAGTCTTTTATAAAGTTTTATCAGCTACATTATCCCATTTAATTATACTGAACTTGTGCAGTAGTTGATCAGGGCTTTTTGTCTTTATTCTTAAAATGAGTTAGGGAGATTGCTAGTTCTGACTTCTTCAGAATTTGAATAAAAGCTGCTGTTTTTACCTTGTTAGTTAATCCTTCGGTAAATCCTTGAGAGCAAAGACTTTTTTTTTGGCAGTACTGGGTTTTGAACTCAGGGCCTCATACTTGCTAGGCAGGTGCTCTACCACTTGAGCCACTCCACCAGCCCAAAGACTATTTTTATAGTTTGAAAACTCATTACCTAAAGTTGGGTAAATTAATAATGTACCTAGTTTTAAGTGTCAGTCTATATAAAATGAATTATAGGAGTAGTTTGCTAAATTTTCTGTCTTCAGATTAGAAAAAGAAAGTTCTTAACTATTAAATGTCAGAAGAAAGTAAGATAAAATGTGAATTTACCTTGCTGTTACAGTGCATTTTGGAGAACATGAAAGAGTTCCCTTTTGAGTAGTTAGGTGGAATGTCTTCTTAGTGTTAATTTTTTATCACTGCTAGCTTTTAGGAATATACTTCTGAAAACTAGTATAAAGAACCATAGTTTGACTAATATGAAGTGTCAAGGGCTGTCTTGAAAGAATGGTTCAGTGTGATAGGGAATGTGTAGGCTGACTACAAGTGAACATTTACTCCAAAGTAAGTGTTCGCCTAGTTGTCTTGAAACCACCAAGGAGAAAGGTTAGGTCATGGTGAATAGTTTTAAACTAAGGATCAACCTGTAATGGTCATGCATTCCCTAAATCATCTGTATTTGATTTTGAATTACAATTTTTGTATAATCTTTATTTTTTAGTAGGAGATCCCATGACCTGCAAAATCTACCTATAAACATAGGTACTAAGATTTAGTTTTTAAGCATTTACCTTTAACACTTGCTTCTCTCTCTCTAGGAGGGGCTATCTATAGGCAGCCTATGTGATTGAGGATAGAGCAGCAACAGGAAGGAAGAAATATTAGAAATCAAGAATCCTGAATTTCCATATAAGGAAGGTTTCCTGTTCTTACATTTAAATATGGGTTTGTCTGAGCTGTGAATTTACAACGCTTCAGAATACTAGGGTATGTCTTACTGAAAATCATTAGGAAGATTATTTCTTCTATTAAATTTGCCTCCTTAACTGATAGAATCTTAGTACAGGGCATTCACAGTAAAATGTATGCTCTGTTTTTAATACACTGTAAGGTAGTGAGCAAATTCTATTAATTTTCTAACTCCATCATAAAGTTGAATGGTGTTTAGATACTTTGGTCATGAAACTAATTAGAAATTTTAGAAATTATTGAAATATTAATACTAAACAGATGAATAATTGAGGGTATTTTTGAGGTACATAAGGAATCAAAATGTTGAATTTTTTTATGTATAAACAAAATTTGTGATAATTTTTTAAAATCAAAGTCACCTTTTGAAAAACAGGATAAGTATATTAGTTAAAATTTTTCTGTGTTAGATTTAAATACAGGGTTTTAAAACCTAACTACTTTTGGGTGTGGAGCCGCATGCATGGAATGCCAGCACTTTGGAGGCTTGAGGGAGGATTTCAAGTTCCAAGCCTGAGACTCTGTCTCAAAAACAGCAGCGACAAAACAAACAGCAAAACATCCTCACTGTTTAGAAATTTAATCAGTTATTCCAGCCAACTAAACTTTGTTTAAAACTAAAGTCTCTTGAATTTTCTGGATACATAGCCTGCTACTTACAAGGATGAAGTTCCCTTAAAGTTAGGCTGGTTCAAAGCATTTTTTGAAACCTATTTTTAAAATTTCTATTAAAGGTATATGATCACACTATGTATAATTTGATATTTTAGTACCTATTGTTGAACTTTACTGTGTATAAAGTAGCATTATAATTTTTCTATAGCATACATTAAGAAAAAAATTAAAGATCTATTTAATTCTTAAGAATGCATTTTGATTTTTTTATTGGATTCTTTAGTTATAGTTAACTGGAGTGTGCTATGAAAACTTAACTCAGGGTACTGAATTTCCTATTTACTCTCTGAAATGCATTACTATACTGTTCTTTTTGAGGTCTGAAATGGACAGCATTGTTTCTTAGCTCTAGCATTGGTGGCTTTTGTTCTGACTTATCCTTTCCTTATCTGGAGAAGATTAATCAGTTTTAAGAAATTTTTTCTGTTGGCTGAGCCACAGTCAAAGTGAATTAACTTGTTTTCTGGTGTTAACTAAATTACCCTTAGGAAATGTAAGTATGTGCAAATTATGACAAAATATAGTAACAGTTTCTGATTAGTGCTATTTTTCCCCTATTTTCTTTTGTTATAACAGTGGAACCCTTTCTTTCATTAAACTTTAGACAAATCCAAAACAGTTATGCACAAGGGAAAAAAAGAATGAAAATCCTATCTAGGACCCATATATTTGAAACAGATCAGAATGGAATGATCCAGGTTAAAACTCTGTCATGTTAAAAATTTTAAAGCTAAGAATGTCATTTAGTTGATGTCAACAGAGAAAATTTAATTTCACGGTCATTGAGTGATTTGGAGCAGGATATAAAGTAAATTTCTTAAATATAGAGGCTTTCTTTGGGTGTTTGTGTCATAACTTGAAATAGCTAGAATAATAAAAAAGTTACATGTATGTTGTGAAGTTTGCAAATTCCAATAAAAATCATTAAGAACTCATGTTTCTCACTTTTACATAACATCACATGTATGCCCTTTTGTTAATTAACCAAGTTTTTTTCTTTGCTAGTGTAATTCAGCAAGTTGATGTTTATGACACCATTTGTAATAGCTAGTGTATGGTACATACTCTTAAGAATTGTTATTTCAATTAATTCCCATAAAAAACCTTAGGGACAAATTCTATTCTCATTTTCACAAATAAGACAGTCGAAGCACAGAGAAGCTGTATAACTTGCTCAAGTTTGGATAAAAGGAAAAATATGAAAGACAGTAAATTCAGAGCCTCTACACATCTGTCTTAGTTTTCAAGAAACATTGAAGGAGACAAATTTGCATGTTTATCTAAATTTACCTTTAAAAGATAAATAAAAAAAAGAAAAGATAAATTAAAAACATTTTTAAACTTTGGTAAAAATGAGAAGCACCAGAAAGATTTTACTTTTAAGTACTCTTTGAAATTTGTAAATGTAGTAATAATATTGCTTCAACCTAAGAAATTTTATACAGTATATGGTAACTGATAAGTAATAATCACATAGACATGTTGTGTTATTTGAACTACAGTTTTTCTTTGATGTGTTACTAAAAAGATGTGGACTGCTTCACTTCATTACTTTCTGTGGGGAAAATAATTGCCTCCTAAATCCCTTGTATTTGGAAGTAAGTTGAGTCTAAATTGATTTTAGTAAGACCGTATTTCCAAATTCAGAGTGGTGAAGCATTTTCCTATCAAAGCTTATTTACTTAATAGGAAAAGAAATACCAGTTTTTACTAGACTGGTAGAAAGTAACTCAGTTTATGTTTTAGCTGCTCCCAAAATAACTCATGAGCTTTGTAAAAATGTGTTACGTGGCCAGGGATCATATATAGCCTGTTCTACCTGTACTTACGTAAACATACCTATATTATGTCTTAAAGCCCAGAAAGGTACAGTTCACAGCATTTTCTAGTAAGGGAGGGGTGGAGGAATACTTCATTTTTTGTGTCTTTTTTTTTTTTTTTTTTGCTGGCACAACTACCTATACAAAACAGTGAATTTGGGGGAAATGTTAAGTCACAGAATACTAAAATGTGTAAATGGCCTTCTCTAGCTCTTCCTCTTATAACTGATTCAGAGTTGTGCAGGTTTAGCATTATAGCCAGCATTGTATGGCAGAGCCCATACAATTTCAGCCCAGCTTTCAGTATACCAGAAGTTAGGGAACAGCAGGTCTTCATGGGATCTGTATTACTTTTTTTTTTTTTTTTTGGTGATACTGTGGGATTGAACTCAGCACCTTGTACTTGCTAGGCAGGTGCTCTACCACTTAAGTCATTCCACCAGCCCTTGATGGGATATTGATAACAGATCTCTCATGTTCATGATTGTATTTCAGTTAGCTAATGTACAATAGATGTTCAGTAGTATTTTAATGGAAAAAACTTGATTAGTCTGAGAGCATTTCATATCCTTTATTTTTCAAAGAATAAAAAAAATCCTGTTTTCTGTTACGGTGAAAACTTATAACTGTATTTAGTATAGTTTAGTGTAATCTAGTCTAAAGAAACATTTGCAAAAATATAATGTGTTAAATCATTTTTCAGACACTGGCTTCATGTCCTATCGACCGAAAACCTTTTCAGTCAGTATTTAAATTCAGTGCATTGGAAGGTTGTGTTAAGGTAAGTCTTAGAATTTATTTTGCGTTATATAAAAATTAATTGAGGCTATTTTGCCTTAGTAGATTTCCAGTTTGTGCATATTTGAAATTTGAAGATTGTTCATGATCAGTTTTAATATGTGGCACCATTCCTTTTTAACATGACAATTTTCAATGAGGACACTGGAATTCTGAGTTGTCTTTTCTTTTGTCCCTAAAGATGGCTTATCTAGAGTGGTCGCATTATGATATTCCACAAAATGTATTAGATCTCTGATTCTCTAAAAAGATGTTATTCGTCTAATTACAGAATACTTAAAATTTTCAGATATCTTCAGCATGAATACTTTGTGCAGTTCATAAACATTTCTTAAAATACATTTTCCATTGAAATAATGTGAAAACATGGAATACTAGATTCAATGATCATCACCCCCACTAAAAACTTAAGTGCAAAATATCTGAAAACTATATTTTGAGATTAACCAATATAAATGATCTTTTTTTTTTTCTTCTTCTTTTTGGGCAGTACGGGGTTTGAACTCAAGCTTGCTAGAGATGTACTCTACCACTTGAGCCACTCCATCAGCCCTGGTCTTTGTTGCTAAATGTTCATCACCTCATTGATGTTACTTCTTATTATGAACCATAATTATAATTTGAATTGATGTTGATTTTTGGGTTATTTAAAAATAGAAGTAAAATAGGAACATATTCCTCAGTTGATCAGTAAAAGAGAAAAATAGAAAAGGACAGTGGTAGTTAAGTAAAGTGTATGAGAATTAAATAATAAATGCATGCAAATAGATGATAAATAACTAAAATGTACATAATATATATGTATGTGATTAAATTAAAGAGAGAAATGAGGTGTTCCATTATCTATGACAGCTTGGTTGGTGGAGGAAATGGTATGGAAGCAGCATGCAACTATTTAAGTGTTAGTTGTTCTGAGTGTAGGTATTTATACTTTATACATTTTTATTAAATGAGTCTTTAGGTAAGGTACAAACAGGATTGTAATTCAAACAGAATTGTTTTAAAAAGCGTCTGCTTATAATTACAACTATATGCTATCTATACAAATGAGCATATATCTTGGAGAAAAGATACTAAGTGTAATAAAAAATTAAAGTGGTTTCTCTAGAAGACAGTCTTACAGTTTTTTTTCAGACTATAAAATTTTGTTGCTAAATATTGGCACAAAGCTTCCAAAAATATTTGTTCTGTTGCTTAGAATAAATACGTACATTTATTTGATAGGGTTTGCATATTACTTAAATAAATAGTTCGACACAGTGCTAACTCAATTTTCTGCACCTTTTAAAGGTTTTTAAAAAGTAGTTATTATATGAAATATCTTCCACATTCTCTTAGTTTCTTCCTGTGAACATTCACTTTATTATCTCTTTCTTTTTTACAACTAATCTTTTTGAATGAGACATCTCCCTTTTCTCAGATCTTGCTCACTTTTCAACTCCCATTGAGCATTCATCTCTATCATCTTATTTTAATAAAATTGGTCCATACTAGGTCTGGAATACTGACTTCCAAATTCCATGGTTTGTCCCCCCTACATGTCATGTTGTTGATCATCCTCTACTTTCTTTGGCTTCTAAGACATTATATATTTGGATGGTTTCTAGAATTCTGACATTGGCCCATATCTCTTTTCTAAGACTCACAACCTGTATTTCCAATCCCTTTGTTGCATATCTTTACCTAGAATACCAAAGGAATCTAAACCTTTATAAACCTAAAACTCATCTCATTCTCTGCCCTCTTCCCCAGCCATAATTGTTAACCATGCATCTCTTCTCTCACTCATCTGTTTTAAATTTCTTCTGTTTAATGCCTTAAATTTGTTCTTTCTTTAATTTCCGCTGTTGCCTCTTGATAGTCTCTCATGCTTCCATCTGTACCATTACTTTTCAATAGAAGTGTGTTGAACAGTATTTTTTTAAAGTAGGGCGTGGTGTTGCACACTAGTAATCCCAGCAGAGGCAAGAAGAATGCAAGTTTGAGACCAGCCACAAGGCCACATAGTGAGACCCTGTGTCAAATAACCAAAATAAACAAAACAAAACCAAAATTTAAAATTACTAGTAGGTACATTAAAAGAGTAAAAGGAAACAGGTAAAATAAATTTATGCTAACTCTTTGAAATCCCAAAGAGTATACTTAAAGCACATCTCGATTTAGAGGAACCACATTCTAAGCACTCAGTAACCACCTATTCTGACTATCATCCTTGCCAATATCGATCCGTCCAGAAAGAAATGTAGCTCTTATATTCTGGACACTGTAAGAGCTTTCCTGCTTTTTATAGTCTTTCTTTAAAGGATTCATTCCTTTTTTTTTTTTTTTTTGGCAGTGCTAGAGATTAAACCCTGGGCCTTGCTCATGCTAGGCAAGCATTCTACCACTGAGCTACATCCCCAGCCAAAGGATTCAGTTTTAACATCCCTGCCAAAGCTAATCTTTCCTAATAAACAAATTCGATTGTCTGTTCAATTCTTTTAGAAACTTCATTTATCTCTAATGCTTAGAGAATTGTTTTCTTATTTAAGGACTTACATGATCTGGTCCTAACGTACTTCATTAAATATTTTATCTTGCTCTTCTTGTCTTCCCCATCTATATTGAATTCTCAGTGTTCTTATAACTGTTTTTCTTGCACCTGGAATATTTTTTTCCTTGCATAAATTCCCATTTATTTTATTATGACCAACACATAAATCATTTACTCATTAGTATTCTCTGACATTCTTAGAGTGAGTTAATTTATCAGTCCAGTATGAGAAATCTCTGTTCATTTCTTTGTGAAGTATTTTCTTAAGTAATTAATTGTGCTGAGATTAAACCCTGGGCCTCCTCTATACTAAGAACATGCTCTGTCACTGAACTACACCTTCAACCCTTGGCTTGATTTCCTTAGAAGCTGTATCTCTCACTGTTTTGTTTCTCCATAGCTTAGCATACTTACTAAGCTTATGGTTTAACATACTTGAATGACTGAGCACGTGTATTTGAACTATGCTTTTCTTTCTTTTTGAGACGGGGTCTTGTTATGTAGCCCAGCCTGGTCTCGAACTACAGTCTTCCTGCCTTAGCCCTCTTGAGTTCTAGGATTACAGGCATGTACCACCATGCCAGGACTATACTTTTCATTCAAACAATTTTGTTTCTCTAATTTTATTATTTCAAGGGAGAACTGAAAAACTGTCATGTGGTATTAGACTATAGCTCTGACTAGATGATTTTTTTTTTTTTTTGTAGATTCAGGTGAAAAGACAGTTGACAGAAACTAAAGACAACAAAAATGAAAGCCCTTTTACAAAACAGCTCTCCTGTAATGATGTCTCTGAAGGCTACATAAAGTAAGTGATTAACTTACCATAGCTAGTGCAAAAAGAACTCTTGCTTTTTAAAGTGTGCATTTTCAGTATATTTATTTCCTTGAAAGCACATACTTGATGTTACAGGAAGTGTCATGTAAAATCTGAGGATATAATTGGAGTTCTGTCTTAAGTTTAGGGACTTTTTTCCCTTGTCTGTTTTAGACAAGAGCAAAGAAGTGTAAAATTTCTATTAAAAAATTCTGTTTCCTCTTTTTTTTTTTAAACTTCTCACAAACCAGTACTGGTAGCCATGCCATACTTGGAGTTCCACTGATTTGTACAAAAAGTACAAAGTAACAAATGAAATAGAGCCAGTCATCATGAGGAAGTTAAATTGAAAAGATATTTTTTCACATTTTGGTTCCAGGTGTATTAGCATGTATTTGGTACCTACTCTGTTTATGCTTAAAAATTTTAGAACATTTGGCTTTCTTTAATTGCTATCGTTAAAGTCATTGCTTTATTTAAACATAATTGCATGGAAATATGCCTGTTACTTGAATTTAACAGTTATTTAGTGTAGTTTCTGAATACTACATTGAATATCACTAGCAAATTGGAAATTAATTGATAAATAAAAATAGCTTCTAACATTTGAAACATAAGCCTGTTTTGGTGTGAAGTGTATTTTATTTTTAAGTCAGTATATTGCTGACTCAAGAAAACTAAGGTTTTTGGTTTTTTTTTTTTTTTGGGGCAGGAGGGTATGGTGTTGGGGTTTAAACTCCCAGGCCTTGTTCTTGCTAGGCTGGTACTCTCCCTAGAATTAGAATAGTAATTTCTTAAGACAGTATATTTAGTAACTAAAACAGTTGACAGTAGCCTCTGGGATTTATTGAACCTGCCACTAATCTATAACACTGTCTTCCTTAGTTCTTAACTTTTGAATAGTTACAAACTTTGAGAATATAAAGAAAGCTTCAGGTCACTTTTCTCATCCAAGTACTAACCAGGTCCAACCCTCCTTAGCTTCTGGGATTAGATCAGATTGGTTTGTTCAGGGTGGTATTTTTTCTACCAGAAAAAGAACACCTGTTTCATACATAAAACTTTTAAGCCGGGTGTGGTAGCTCATGCCTGTAATCCCAGCTACTAGAGAGGTAGAGTTCAGGAGGATTGTGGTTTTAAGTACTGCCTAGGTAAAAAGTTAGGGAGACCCCCATTTCAATCAATAAACCAGGCGTAATGGCATATCCTTGTTGTCCTAACTGTGTGGGAGGCCACAGGTAGGGTCCAAGCTGGCCTGGATAAAAACACAAGACCCTACCCTACCTAAGCAAATAATGGGGTGGTGTGTGGCTCAAGTGGTAGAGCACTTGACTAGTAAGCAGAAGGCCCTGAGTTCAAACACCAGTATGCCAAAAACAAAGTAAAACAAAAAACCAAATTTTATATATGATTTTAAGGTATTCATAGAATACTAGAGTTATATCTGCATTAGAGAAAATTTTATAAGTATGAATCATCTTTGATTCTTGAATTCTAAAATTTATGCTTGCACAGTAGAAAGCGTTAGCATACTTCTGAGGCATAGTGAAGAAATACCTTTTGGTGGCTTAATGCTATGTGTAGCTTAATTTTGGTAGCTTAATTCTTGATACAGCTTCTACTGCTGACTATGACAATGTCATGGATAGACTTGTTTGTGCTACCACAGAATTATCAAATTTTCCTGATTCTTGCTGGGAGTGCATATGGTCATCATTCAGTGTCCTTTCAAGGTCTTATCTTACTTGGGTCAAAAACAGCTGAGGTAGTCCACATATTTAACTTTTTTTTCTCAGAGATTTGTCTTTGGGAGATGGTATAAGGAAATAACACATGCAAAGTAATTTAATTTTGCCCAAAAAATTACACCCTCAGTGATTTTTCCAGTAGTGGAAGATCTCTGTTAGTTGTTGTATATTTACTGTATAATTTTTTGGATATTTTTAGTATTCTTGTCATTCATTCTACTGCATTTGCCTGGTCTCTCCAGCATTCAGACAAGAGCCATTTAAATTTGCCTCTCTTTTCTAAAACGTTAAAATCCCAATACCCCTCTCTTTGTGATACTTTGATCAGTTCCAAGTGAGGGATAGCAGTGATATTTTTGTCTGTAGTAAACCTCCATTTTGTCATTGCAAGGAAAAATGTCTACTGTGTGGAGAATGGTACTTAGTGTTGCTCTCTTTCCTAGGATTTTCTAATAGCCTCTTTAAGAAAATGTATCTGCATATCCATATTCTACATGGCTCAGTAGCCAGTCATAATTAGTTAGTAAGGTTATTGTTTGAATAGTTGATATAGCTCATTATGTGTTTGTTATATAATATATACTGAAATCTAGCTTAGCATTTTAATATCTCATAATAGTTTGTGAGAATATTATTTAAATCATTTAATTACTTAAATCATTTACAAGATTTTTAGGATAGTTAATAAAATAAATGCATTATAGATTTCCTTGTAATTGGTAGGTAATTGAAAATTAGTGAACAAAATGATAGCTTTCTCTTAAATCTTTTAAATCTTTATTGATATTTACAGAAAAATGTCTGTCATAGGAGAAGATCCATGTTATGGCTTGGAGATGATTCCTAGTAAGTGACTTTTTGCTTGCATTCTTCCTTTTTTGTTTTTTAATTTAATGGCCATATCCAGAGTCCTAATTAGTAATATTTTGAATTGGAAAATAGTCAAACAAAGAACTCCTCAGAACTCTGCACCTTTTATATACTACATAAAAATTACTTTCATTGGGTCATTTATGTTGTTCTTTGCCCCCTTTTTTCAACTTGGAGGGAGAGAAGGAGAGGGTGTGCATGTAGAAATGAGTGCTTCCTAATTATTTGGTGTTTAGTAACCTGCATTGTAGTCTTACTCCACTAATTAGTGCAGGAGTTCTTAGGGGAGATGGTAAGATATTTTAAAGGCCAATAATATAAGTAGTAGCTAAGGAAGGGAAGTCTGTTATAGCAAAAAATGGATTCACAATCCTTGAGGCAGTTATGGCTTGTCCTGTAGTTGTAACAGAGCTTATAGTTTTAAGCTTTGTTTGGAATTAAAAGTACCTCTGACATATTTATTTACACCAGCACTTTCTGGTCTTTTGTTGTCTAGTGAATGATTCTATAATATAGGAAGACTTTGCATTGGGGCCTGAATAAAAAGGCACCATCCATAGTGACTCCTCTTTGGGGTTCAGGCTGTTTATTCTGTTCCAGAGAACATCTAGCTATGAGCTGTTTGTATTCAAGAAGGTGAACATTTATTTTCTAGGCAAGTCCAAGCAACACATGACCCTGTATTGTATTTCAACAGGATTTGCTGATGTAGAGTATAAGAAAGAGAGATGTCAAAGTTTAATCCAAGTCTTAACCTAAGCATCCAGCAAAATGAGAGCTGCCAATTACTGGGGTGGAAAAGGCTTGATAGAATAACGTTTTGGAGGGTATATTTAAAAATTCTGTTTAGGGAGTAGAATGATGGTTGCCTGGGAATGGGCAGAGAAGAAATGGGGAGATGTTGGTCAGTGGGTAAAATGGTTTAGCTATGTAAGGTGAGTGTTCTACAAACCTAGTGAGTGGCAGTAGAATATAGTTTCCAATACCGTATCTTATTCTTGGAACTTGCTAAGAGGGTAGATCACAAGTGTTCTCATTACAAAAGTAAAAAAAAGGAAAATGGTAATTATGAGATGATGGATGTGTTAACTAACATAATGATGGTAATTATTTAAGTGTAGTATACTTTAAACATGGCAGTTCTTATTCATGAATTATGTCTCAGTAAACATGGGAGAAATTCTTTTTTGGACATGTAAAGTGTTTACTACATCCGGAATATAGTTGCTCTGAAGAAATAATGGATATTTGCATATCATATATAAGTAAGGTCTATTCATCTTCAGGTTATTTTAATGCTTATCAGTTTATATTGATATATATCTATTTGTGCTTGCTCCTAAATTAAATTGGTGATTTCTTCTGTTTATCATTTTGTTATTTATTTTTCCTCACTCTAGTTCAGGCAAAAATGTTTTAGATCATGACGATCAGAAATAATATGGAGCTGGGTACTGGTGGCTCATGCCTATAATCCCAGCTACTTGAGAGACTGAGGTTGGGAGGATCTCAGTTTGATGCCAGTCCAGGCAAGTAGTTTACGGGACCCCACATCTGCAAAATAACCACAGCAAAATGGACTGGAGGTGTGAGCTCAAGCAGTAGAGTGCCTACTTTGCAAGTGAAAAGCCCTGAGTTCAAACCCCAGTCCTACCAAAATATATGTGTGTGTGTATGTGTATATATACACATAAGTGCATATATATGTGCATACATACATAGAGGAAGGGAAAATTGAGATCATAGCTTTTTGACCAAAACTAAAATTTCTGTATGTTATACCATAAAGGGATAACTGAAAATTCTTTTTCATTGGGTTACAATCTGGTGAAATCATTTTAGGAAACTCAACCTGGTAAAAGTATTCCAGAAGGAATTAGAAAGTCTGTAAAGCTGTCAAAAGAGGAGGTAATAAATTAAATCTGTAATTTGAGAGTTCTAGGCCAGAAGCTCAATCCCAGGGGTTCCACATGTCAGATCTAGCCACTCACTCCAATATGCCAAATAAAGAGATGAGTAATGGTGAAGGGCAGAGGAAAGAGATTTATTAACGCAACACAGGCAAAGTAAGCGCTCCAGCCCATCTTCGGGGTACAGGCATGAGGTTTAGGTTTAAACAGAGGATGAACTGGGGGAGGAGGGAGTAATGCATACTTATTAAGCAGTCCTGGTCACAGGTGTGTTCTGGTGTGGTACAGTTGATCATCATCTCAGGATGGTCAGGTGGGCCTGGTCATGATAAGAAAGTCATTGTTGCCTTTGGGGTAGCTTTGACTCTTGTCCTAAGATGTTACTGATCAGCTTTGTCCTTCCTGGATTCCAAGGTGACTACAGAGAAAATGGCTCAGAGCAAACACAGATAGAAAATAGAGTCAGGGATGCTAAGCCTTTATGTTGCTCTGGATATTTGCAGGCCCAAACAAGAACACACTGCTTTTCCACAAAAAGTATTTTCTATGAACCTGTTATCTCTTTCTTCTGTGGTTGTGTTGCCTTTTGTCTTTACAATTTATTTAACATGTCCTTTATTTGATCAACACTGAGGAGCCCATTTTCTCATGTTTTAGCATCTGTCTTATTTGTCCTGTGTAATCACTGTTAACCAAGCAGCAGCATCTTTGTCATTGCTGCAAAGATGTGAACATACAATGTATTATTAAATTTGGGGAGTGGATAGCAACTTAGACAAAAACCCTTTCTATATAATTGTGGCATTCTCTTAACCCTCTGACCCTTTGTTGAGAGTGGGAGTATTGTGGGAAGCTAATTGGTTATGTGTGTCAATATTCCCTAGAGAGTTGAAAGTTAGCAAATTCTATATACTTATTTACAGAGCCATCATAATTTAGTTCTTTAATAGGATTTCCCTATTCCTGGTAGCACACAGGATATTGTATTAAAAGTTCAGGAGTGGGAAACTAATTTGAAAAGGTTGGGGGGAGGAGGGATACAGTAGAATAGTGAAGGGGTTGAATTCAAATATGATAAATTTGATATATTGTAAGAACTTTTGTAGATGCCATAGTGTACCCCCACCCAGCACAATAATAAATGGAAAAAAGAAAAAGTTGGATTCTATATGTAAAGAAGTTTTGAGAATATTATTTTTATTTATTTTTGGGGGAGGGAGGAGTATTGGAGTTTGAACTCAGGGCCTACACCTTGAGCCCCTCCACAAACCCCTTTTTTGTGATGGGTTTTTATGAGATAGAGTCTTGCGAACTATTTGCCTGGGCTGGCTTTGAGCTGTGATCCTCCTGATCTCTGCTTCCTGGTAGTAGGATTATAAGTGTGAGCCACTGGCTACCAGCTTGGAATTTTATTTCCCCAATATAGTCATTTTTACTCAGGATTTGATTTTAAAGCAGAAAAAAAAAGATATGCCTAGTCTATGTTAATTTCCTAGGTCTGCCATAACAAAACACACATACTCGGTGGCTTCAAACAACAGAAACTCATTCTCTCACCATTCTGGAGTCTAGAAATCTGTATAGTGTTGTTGGCAGACCCATACTGCTTTCTTTTGTAGACTTTGCTTCTTCTAACTTCTGTTATGTCTCCATAATTCATGGCTTTTTTGGGGGGGTGGCACGGTACTGGGGTTTGAAGTTAGGGCTTCACACTTAGTAGGCAAGGCACTCTTACTGCTTGAGCCACTTCACCAGCCCCTCCCCCATGCCATTTCTTGATTTGTAGTTATATGTCTTCAGTCTCAGCCTCTAGCCTTCTCTGTGTCCCATTCTGTATCCCTTTCATGTCTTTTATAAGAACATACTTACTCAAATGTTCACCGGTGCCACATGTCTATAATCATAGCCACTCAGGAGGCAGAGATCAGGAGGATTGACTTTCAAAACCAGCCCCTGGCAAGTAGTTTGCAAGACCCTATCTTGAAAAAACCCACTACAAAAAAGGCTGGTGGAATGGCCAAAGTGGTACGAGCATCTTCCTAGCAATTGTGAGACCCTGAGTTCAACCTCCAGTGCTGCCAGATAGAATACACTTGATTTAGGGCTACCCTAATTCAGTGTGATCTCAGGTCAGTACCTATCTTAATTGGTTTGCAAAGACCCTATTTCTAATAAGGCCATTTTATTTATTAAGACCATTTTCTGAGGTTCTAAGTGGACATGACCTTTGAGGGATACTATTCAATGCACTACAAAGAGCTAAAAGACCTCTTTCAGTAATTATAAAGCAAAACTTTCAAGTGATAAGAAAACATTGTACCTGGAGGCATGGTTCAGGTGGTAGAGTGCCTGCCTAGCAAGGGTGAAGCCCTGAGTTCAAACCCCAAAACTGCCAAAAAACAAAAGAAAACATTGTGACCTAACCTTGGTGCCCAGATTGTGTTCTCTAAATACCATTTCCCAGTAAAAGAACCAAAGCTGAAAAAAAGGGGCAGCATCCAAAGTTGAGGTAGTAATAAATACAGTGTTTCTGGAACATTTTTTCTAACAGAAAGCAAGGAAGCTATCAGAGACTATTATGACTGCAACAAAAAATTCAGAAATCAACATGGATGGACTCTTTTTAACCAAAAATGGAATAATTATTGAAACCCATCAAATATGTTGAATTAATGGATCTAGTCAGAGATTACCAATGGTTGTTAGCATCAAAAGGAGAGGGATCCAGACATTAAATACTCTCTAAATGGAAGCAAATAACACCAAATTGCAGTAAAGGCTATCCTGCCTAGTGCACCTGATCAAAAAGACCCAACTGCTAATTTATAGAATACAACAGAACAAAGATGCATGTTAAGTCACAAGGGGATGCATTCAGCAAAATATAGGCCATGAGACAAATGACCTGATTTTTTTCAGTTGGAAAGTTCCAGAGTTTAAAAAATGGGGGAGGGGAACCTATAGATTAAGACAGACAAATATTTAATTAATCATGATGTATGAATTTTAATATATTAGAAAAAATACAACTCCAACTTTGTGACACAATTGTGGAAAATTGAACAG